TAAACTTGTGTTCGTTCCGTCTTCTTTTTGTGTCTTAGTGTCACCATTGGCCACGTGGACACGTCTGAGCATTGGACTTTGTCGACAAGCTGCTCTAGACGACCCAACGTTGACGATGGAGGTAACAGATCCGCACTGGATGCTATTTCAACTGCTCGCGCCGACGTAGATACAACTTTTCTTAGAAGGTATTTCCGTGGATATATTTGACAAACAAGGGACGAAGCAATGATGTGACTTTCCAAACCCTTCTCTTGTTTAAGCTAGTAATTTTTAAAGTGTGTTAACTAACTGAGAACACATGCGTAGAAAAGGGCCAAGTTTTTTAATAAAAAACAACTAATATTGTCAAACTTGGGGAATCAACCACGAGAACCCACTGTGAATGAATGCAAACAGCGGATAATTTAATGTCATTTGTTTTTATCGAAACCAGTTGAATTGAATTGATAAAAGGGCGCGAACTCACCGTGCGCCTCGTATTGTCACATAAAGTGCATTTTGTCCCTAGAAACCCCTTTGCATTTCATGTGAGACATTTCGTGCTTCGTTCGTTTGTACTAGCCAGATCCAACCTTGTTCCTCTTCGCCAAAAGCCCTACTTCCGTTTCCTCACCATCCCAGTCTGTAATTTTGGCTAGAAACTGCCTTTAATGGGACAGCTTGGCAACATTCGTGTCTTCGCAAATATTACAAAAAAACATTTTTTTAAAAGTAGTTGTGAAAGACAACACGTTAAGTACCTTTGGTAGAAGCATTTTCACACAACAAGGGGCGTTCAACAGAATTTGAGGTGACGCTTGTGCAGAGTACGAATCAAGTTTTGTCACAGAATAGTCAACTGGCAATGTTTGTTCAATAATCCCTGTTCGTGATTATCAAAATTCCTTCATAGACAGTCAATTTTAGCCTGGATAACGTCAAGAATGCACAGCATCGCATCTTCGAGTACATATAAATTAGCGACTTTTAAGTGATCTGATTGGTTGAAGCGTTTGTTTAAATCGGCCTGACCTTGTATGGATTGGTGGGTTGCTTTTCTAAATTTAAGCGCTGCTTCTTCCTTGATTACCCGCTGATTAAAACCTGTCAGCTGGTCAGTGTAAATGAAAAAAGATGTGTTTTCATTTGTTTTAACTGCGTGATAACCTCACCGTCATGCAACTCACAATTTACTGCAGCGAGTGGCAAGACTTCGTTTCCCACTTTAAAGTGTAACTATTTAAAAATTGAAGAATTAGCAAAATTTTCGTTCCTTCGTACTATGACGGCGCTTGCCAAATCAAATGTTGCTTTACAACGACGTCGAATTTGCATAATTTGATCACGATTGATATATATTTAGCACCCTTGGGACGCAGGTAAATCCAAACATTTTGTTTTTGGCCACAATAACTTGTCAGTTACTTCCCGTGAAACATTCATTTATCACTGGTTTCCTGAGTTGTAAGTGATCAAACAACAACGCAAGCCTCCGTGATTTCGGCAAGAACAACACTTAATTTTTGTAAATGAAAAAAGCCGTTTTCGTGATGTTACTTTAAAAATATCTCTATAATTTTTGAATCACATTCAAATTTCCCAGAATTTTGAAAAAAAAAGTGATTTGATTTTAGTAAAGACAGCAATTTGCCATGTTCGTGTTGAAATATAGCAAATTGAACTGTATATAACCTGAGGCGTTAACGAGTATAACCGTGAGGCAGACCAAAGTAAAGTACATACCCCATTAGCCAGGCGACGAAAGGTGGACGAAAGCTTTGTGGATCGCGAAAATGCCGGATTAGATGAAGAGGGACGTTTTACCTACAAAAATAGAACACAAGTTATCCAGTGTCGAATGATCCAGCATAAAAACGAATTCTCTCTCGACCAATCATGCACAGTTTAATATAACTGAATTATACGATTATTGATTCAAACAAATTTTTAAAGATGGCATAACTAACATCTCAGATTCCTTACTATACTTCGTGAATTTTTTACAATTTGAAAAGTTCTCCGAAACTACCCAATCGAAATCGATTTTTCAATCAACCAATCATGGGCGGTTTAAAATGGTAAATTTTACAAGGAATGATTTAAGCAAGGTTTGGAGGACAAAACAACTTTTCTTAGTCCGTACACTCCCTCCTCTCAATCTCAGATTTGATAAAATTAGATTTTACAAGAAGGCCTTACAGTCACGCACATGGTTAATAAGGAGGAGTTGGCATACTTTTCCGATTTAGAAAAAGGAGATATTTGAATCTTAACTTTGGTGGTTTCATGCCTACAAACTCAGCCTATTTAGAACTTTGTTGTAGATAACGATTTCACGCAAAATTCTTCAAAACTATTGGCTATTTGCACGACAGCGACGCCAGGCCCCTCTTGCTAAGTCGCCTGTCTCCTAACGCTGTTGGGTAATTCTAGGGGACGAGAACTACACTTGACCACTTCAATTACATGGTAGCTCAAATGTAACCTTACGCAAGCAGTGCACAAGAGTTTTTCAATTTAAACAGACTCAACACTTTCTTGTGGACGATTTTTGACTTGACCGCCTTTCTGGCAACTGGGAAACAGTTTAAAACGCACCATTTAATTAAATGTTGATGCATTTAGCCAATCCGGTGTAGATTATGCCATTTCATCAAGATTTTGAGAACATTTGACGTGGAAATCGTTAATATTCTATAGTTAAGTGCTCATCTTCTATTTCAATTGGAACGAGTCCAAAAATGCTTCCAGATTGCCCTACGCTGTCGCATCTCGTTCACTTACGATAAAATCTTTGCTTGGATTCCGTCATTGCTGTCTTTAGGTAAGCTAAACAAAACAATGTTAGCTGATCCACCACCGTTATCTTTTAGCCAATTCCTACATGTGCATTGTGTCGAGCACCCATAACAGCTAACTACTCTCTCTGTTTGTCCGTTCTAGTATATATTCTGCCGTAGCGAAAACAAACACGTAAGTAAACCCGACTTGGCATCCATCAGATACTTGCGTAAGGTTGCTGTGAAGACTACACGACAAAGGAATCGAAAATGGCAGATATTGGACCCATTTTCAGATTGCTTCAGTTGTGAGATAAAAGACACGATATTTCGGAAAATCCACTTCATTTAAACACACAAAACTGGTTTCAACAGAAGCACCAGCGTCTGGGGTCACCTCAAGGCCGAGTCAAGCATGGGGAGCAGTTGACCTTTTGACATTTTAAGTCAACTGCGAAAACTTATGGAATTTTAGGAACTTAACTGACAAGCCGCGTGCAATTGGCATTTCACTACCAACATAAACTTAAAGTAGATGTGTGCATGTCTAGTGCCAGAAGAGTTGATGGTTTAAACAAAAGTGGTACTGGGAAATTTGACCTAACCCTCACTAGACCCTCTTTTGAGAACAAGTCAATTTCGACGAAGTAGCGCAGTCCCAATGCATGAATTTCGACACGCTCTGGAGTTCCAAAGGCCCTGAATGGCTTCATTTTTCACCAGCAACAGGTTATAAGTGGATTGTTTTAATCCTAGGCGATGTTTTGGGAAGAAACTGCTTCTAATGGACAAAACCCCAATAACTGATTGCATGATAATCGCAAATTGGAAAAATCACGATTCCTGTGCTGCAAAGATGCTACCGGATGCACAAAAGGCCATTTTATTCGCACGGAATCACTTCACTGTTGCCAAAAGTGGTCGATCGAGATGTGGGAACGCTGCCTGCTTCCTGAAAGCTTCGCAGTCGTTTGGCCACGGTGTGCATGGGCATGCTGCCTGTCTGTTTGATGAGAGGATACAGCCAAACGCAAACACACAAGCAGAACTTGAACGCACACACGGAATCATGCGATTTGGGGTTGCCAATTAATGTCCGCCATCATGACTCCGGAAGGGTCTAATCCAGGGTTTTGACGGACACCCTTGAGGTCGTTAAGTTTGTGTCAACTGATATAAAACCGTCAACTCGTAGTAACACACAAAATGCCGAGGTGCTAATTCGCATTATTAACCTTAGCTAACGAGTGTTCGTTTACATTATCCATCGATTTAAACATCCAGCAATCACCTTGCCTATTTTCTGCATCAAAGTTGCAATTTGGCAATTCATTGATAACTCACAGATTGGTCCAAAACTCAAGTGCCTTGCGACACAGTACTTCAACAAAACGTCTAGCCAACTATTACTCTACGTGTTAAGCATTTGTAGATCGTCACGTCTTACCTTGAAAGATCATTTGTTATTGTAGCCTCAAAAATTTAACATTTGTCGATATGTTATTTAGGTGAATGAATACCATAAGGTGCTGCTCTTATTTTTAAATCGAAACCAACAGAAAAAATGCTTAAGCTGGGAATATGACCTGTTAGTGATTAATGCATTTAAATGCAAATTCAACACCAAAAGAGACACCAACGTAATGCTGGAGGATCTGCTGGTTAGGGTGGATGCACTTTCTCATTATCAAATATTCATTTAAATCAAGAAAATACTATTTCATTTGATGTGTACTTTTGGTAGATAGCATCAACACATGCCGTGATGTGAACATGCACGTGTTTAGTGCTGACACAAGCTCATTTTATTGCTCGCCGTAGTAACAATAATTATCACAACCCCGATCCCTGGGAGATCGCTAAGCACTCGGCAATTTAGAGCTGTGAGGTTGCCGAAGTCAGCACCCCGGTTAGCTACATCGAGGTTATCTGCGCCCGATTGAGAGAGGCTGATTAAGAGTTGAATAGGCGCAGTGGTTTGCACGCTTGCCCTACAGGAAAATCTTGACGTGAATTAACACCTTCGCTGTCCCAAATCTGGGTGGGTGGGCGAGAATTGAAGTCCGAATTACGCACGCTAATGCAAACCCACGCATCACACGTTTAAAATGTACCAAAAACGAAGCAAGAGACACTGCTGTGGACAGCCATCCATATGCGTGGTTACGTTGATTAATTAATCAGCGGACGTTATCAACTAAATCTCGCAAGTAAAAGCAACGCCGATGAAAGACGGGATTACGAAACACCGAGAATGCATGAAGAGGTGACAATTGGAGAAAACAAGGACAAACTTGCCGTCATTGTCGGTGGTGGAGGTGGCAGTGACTGGCACTCCGCTGAGGATGGAAACTGGACGCCTTTTCTGCGAAGAGCAGTGTACACTTTCTCAAGATCTCGTCTTCCTGGAACGTCCCAGGCAGCGTCAACCCATGACTGTGAGAAAAAAAGCCATCGCAACAGTATATACTACACGTTTCTATAATCCCCATTCAGTGGCTACCCAACAAGTATGGCTAAAATTCGCTTATACGCCATTTTCTCTGACTCCTTTTGGAATGTGATCAGCGAGTGTGAACGACACAACCCGGGATTTTGCCTGTTAGTGGTTTTGCATATTTAACACCGGCGATTATCGTGAACCAATGTTTTCACACGACATAAACACGCCAAGCCTGGGCAATAAAGGAGTAGCCAAGTGGCACATGGCAAAGGGTAAAATATTTTATAGTGCAACACGACCGGCAAGAACACGTGAGTAGGGCAGGACAAAATGAGGCAAAAACCTCCCTATTTTACGAAAAAAGGCAAATCATTTCATCACGGTACTATAACAACGTTATCTCTATTAACCTGACTGTATTAATAGTCGGCCAATTTTACACAGACATTTAATCACTATACCAGGCCTCCATTTTTGCAGAGATTACCACCAAGAAACAGAAGTACTGCAGACAAGAAATTAGTTTGAACAAACCTTGATCAAAAAAAGAATTTTTGACTGAAGCTGAATGGGAGGACTGTGCTTTGGCAGAAGCACCTTGATCAAGTCATGGAGGAAGTCGCGATTGGCAACTTGAGCTTGGAAACGGCGTCCACAATTTTTCAAACAGGATTCAATTAAGATTAGCGTGTACCAAATACTGACGTGGTCCTTGCCAGCCGATGAAGTTAAACGTTTTCTGATAGCTCTGATGGCCTCTTTTGGTCTAAAAATCTGTGAACACTAGCAAAAGCACTTACCCTTCGTCTGTCTCACTAAGTGCATCACATATTTCAAGCACAAGTGTCCAATCTATGGCCAGTTTCCCACTGTCTGTAACTCTTTCTATAGAGATACGTGAAGAAATAGACTGCATTATGTACGGAACAATTGCCAAGGATGAAAAATCAAACAAATGGAAATTTTATGAAAGTCATTAAATTTATGGATTCTAGTGCAAACCTTTGGCACGATTAGAAAAAATATAATGTCCCTAACTATAATGTCCTATTTGTAGAAACAACATAGTTGAAAATTAAATAAATGCTGACCATAACAGGTACAATCCAAAAAAGTTGTTAAAGCATTCACCGTAGATTTTAAAAACACAAATCAAAATAATAAACGTGCATAAAAATCGTGAAAAATTCAGCATCCTTTAAAGGAAGTGGTACATTATCACGGTTATTGGCAAAATTGTCGACATGAAAACCAACCTGTAGGATATGTCTAAAACGATCTAAAGGCGATAGCAGAAAAAACCGGCAAAAAAATAATTTTTAAGCACTTTACGAACTGAAACTAAAGCACTTTTTGTGATCATATCACTTAGTCAGAGTTAAACATGTATCAAATGAACTGACCAAATTTTAGGCTTTTATATCATAAATACAAAATATACAAATCATCAACAGAAACAGATGACAAATATTTACCTATTAGAGTGCCCACACGTGTCGAATAAGGATGACTTTGAAATAAATTTTGCATTCCTTAAAAAACATAGACGCAACTCAAGGTCAAACGACAGCCTTACACAACCCGCTGCCTCGCAATCATCTCAAAATGATATAAAACATGGATTTAAACAAACAAAAAATGTAAAATCTCGCATTGCTATTTTAATTAGCAGCTTATTGCGCACCCTCTGACATAACTATAATGAACTTAGCAAATTTATTTAGCTTCAACGTGCTAAATACGCACGACGGTCTGGTCGGTTCTTTGTCCTCCTTTCCCTTCCCGCACTCTCGTTTTCCTCAAGGCACGCCCGTGAGTCCGAGGGCAACACCAAACCTCCTAGCGGCCATCCCTTTCCCCACTCTAACTCTCCCTAAGCTCTAGCTTTCTGAATTTTAGTGCGGTAATGTGGAATACATCCTGTTTCTCCAGCTATTTTTCTTTCGTGTGCCTGATAGCTAACCATGATGAGGTGGCTACCTAAGAGAGACGAACTAATCGTCATCCCTTTATTTAGGTCCGCACTAGGTGGGTGCGTTACATTACACAGAATGAGCACAAGAGAATATAAATTTATTTTTTTGTACAATGATCTGGATCAAACATTCGATGCTGCTCAAATGCACGAAACGTAGCATTTTGTTTCTTTAAAAAAGGCGTTAAATCCAACATCCTACACGTCAATCTTAGGGTCTTTCCAGTGTTGGTAATTTTCATTTTGCTTAAAAGATAATTTCAAAGAGCAAACCAGACAACAGATGCTGTACCATTGTCCTTATGTTCAAAAGTAAAAAAGCTTTTTTTTTATTCAATTACATTTGTTCCAGTGCCATTCAAAGATTTTAAATGAAAGCCGCCCATGAAAAGTGACTGCCATATAAAATAATTAACCCCATGAGAGGAATACTTCCCTAACTATTGCTGATTATCAACAACTTAACCTAATTTTTTGTTGTCGCAACTAGCAATTGTATTGAACAATCTGGGAACTAAACGCTCTACTGAACCACAGCTTTTTAACAAAAAATATAATTATGGTTTTATAGAACCTGTTATGTCAGCAAAAGTGAAACAGTCTTACAAAGTAGTGATCTTGGATTAGTTACAAAAGGTTTCACAAAAGTAAATTTATATATTCTTTGAAAGAACAAGATTTTGATCACAATCATGAAAACATGTCCCGGAAGATCGAATTCAGTGATGGATTTATTTACAAAAAGTAGGTGCATGGCTTCCACAGATATTATGATAGAGCGTTTACTTAATGAATGAATAAAATTATACTAAAAAAGCAATCAGCTCCTAATTTTAGCTAAGTTGTAGTAAAAATGTGAAGATTATCTTTATCGATTCTTTCAAAAAGCAGATTTCGTTGAGGCATGGTAACACACATTAGCCAGCGACATGCAGAATTGCTCAGTTTGCATAACCACACAGACTTAAATATGTTACCAGTATATTTACATCTACTGCATCATTCATCGATAAACTGCAAAATTAAAGGACTAAGTCACGCCAGATAAATGCCACTGGGGATTAATCAGAATCAAACTTCTCAGTGGAGGTTTTTTATCGATTTTTCATCTTAGAGCAACAGCAAAAAGTGAAGACATGTGTTCCACCATAATTTGTTGTTTAGAAAGATGCTTTCTACTTATCCACCAAATATTCAGCCTTTTCTCCCTTACCTCTTTATTTATTGCCACTTAAACCCACATTTGGTCATTCACGCAACTCCACACCTACTGGTTCATTTAACAGTTTAATGCAGAAGCGTCTTTTGTTATTTTCCTCTTTGGAAACCCAAAAACGTCATAACTTGATTCTCACTAACGCTGATTTTCATATCTATCTCGAGTAAAACTCGAAGTCACTGGTCAGATAGAATGGTACGTGATTTATAAGTTGACAACTTCACCCTGGCAAATTTCAGAATTATAATTTTTTTTTTAAATCCGGAAAAGATATAAGTGGAACGCCTCTCTTTGGTAAAAATCATGTCTTGATTTAAAAATGGAGCATTCAGTAGTAGTTTCCATTCCAGTTGCTAAATGTTTTATGTATTTACAGTGTTCACTTTTGATTTCGTTGCATACGTTATGCATATTTCACCAGCGTTACGATTGTATTAAACACTGTTCCAGCTTATCTTAATCACGCAAAAGGTTCCTGAGTGTCGCTAGCGAGTACCGAAATAATAAGGTGTCCCGGGAATCAATTCTCCTCTGTTTTATTATTAAAATTTTGAATATGTCACATAAATTTTTCGACCCCCAACAGTGGTCTATTGTAAATTGTACAGACTACTGGAATAGTGAACTAAAGAATCCCAAGAGGAATCTAAAAGTCAAAATTCATGATAGTATGAACATTTAGACGGATAAGCTATAAAACTTTATAAGTCCCCCTTTAGGTGGCTTTTATTCATCTAACATCTAAGTAGCCATCAATGGTCTAGGTCAGATTTCTTTGCCTGTTACTTCATTCACTTACGACAAATCCAAATGAAGTATTATATTTTGGATTCAAAAACTTTATTTGGAGTCTTAAAGCGAATTTTCGTAGCTGCGGTAAAGATAATGTTACCAGCACAATGTCCAAGTTTATTATGCCTCACTGCTAATGAAGTCAGAAAAAAGTCCCAAAAATCAATAAGAACCGTTTCCAAATGACGATAGATTTTCTACTACTAATCTTTTGACCATTCTTAAGCCATTTTAACTTCCTGCACCTTATTTTGTAAGCAAAATCCTGATCTGTTCTTTCGATTCCTTAAGTTTATATTTATAACGCGGGGTCATGTCATGGGCTGCTCTACACCGTGATAACGTCACGATCCAACAGGCACTTCTTGATGAGTTTTCAATTAAATGAATCATGCTGTTTCTTAAAAAAAAGTGGCAGGACATTTACTTTTTTAACAGTCTAGTTGACGTTGCTTTGCAGAGGTAAAATGCAACCTATTTGAAATTGTAATTCACCTTTGAGTTCCCTTTTTAGTCTATGAAAAGTGTTTTTAGGAGACAATAAAAATAGCGCCACATAAAATGTTGGTACCTACTTTTATTTTGGACTAATCGCTTTTTCTGCTTGCAGTATGTTTGAATAAATGTAACGTTGACAACATGTCACCAACTTGTTAATTATAACGAAAGCGCGATGTTTAATAATGATTCTGAAGCCCTAGGTTACATTACATGGTGGGGGCTAAGCCCTGCCATTAATTTACTCTCTGACCTGTCTGCACCAAAGGATTCTAGTATGTCTAGTTTTTATATTCCGTTATCAATTAGTAAATGTATTTTTATTTGGAGCTGTCGACACCAGACACATGATCAAAACTGTCTCTGGCTCTATGAGCAAAAGCTGCAAAATAAAAGTATCTTAATATCTTAAAATCTTACTAAAGTTTAAACTTTTTGAAAGTTGCATCGAATTGGTAGCACGACATATTTTACAGTTATACCTCATTGGTATGCCAAGAGAAGATCTCGGACTTCAAGGTAGGCAATGCATGCATGTTTTAAAATTGATTTTGACAGAAAAAACTGAAACCTTTCTTGAGATTTTTGGAAATACTCTTGTTCGTGATTCGACTGAAATTTGGCTTGAAGAAGTAGCCACGAAATTTATAAAGTAAGGTCTTTATCTTTGTCGGAATCTCAGACAGAATTGTTACAGGCAATGGAGTTTTTGATATGTTCCACCCATATGTTTCATTAGTCAAATTAAAATCAAAGGACCGTGACCACTTGGAGTGCACATTGAAATCCTGGAGGCGAAAGAATTTACCCAAGTTTGAAATTTCAACTTATTGGTATGCATTTATAATCATTTCTATTACATTCACGTAATGAACGCACAGTGCCATCACTTATCACTATTTGTGTGTAATTTGACTAATAAATCAAGCTATTTTACTTATTTATCCTTAAATGTTTGTAAGGTCTATTATTACTAAACTAGAAACATTTTTAGACATTGATTTTGTTGAAAATTTGTGCCATTATTTTAGGAATTCGCGCGTTCGTCAGCACCTTGGCGTGCGCTACGATGCAATTCCGAATGTTTTCGATTGGGATTGCTCAATCACCCTTCGAGATCGTGGGGTAAGTGATGCAATCCCCTCTCATTTTAATTCCTCAAACAGAACTTAACGCGATATTGTTTTGCAGATTAGATCTAAATATGAAAGTGGCTAATCTAGTGTATTGCGGTATCATGCCTTATACTGCTAACTGCTTGTAAAACAGATAAAAACATTGGATAGTCGTGAATACTCGCGATGGAGAGAGACGGGCGTGGCGTTCACGCCACGCCAGGCCAGCTACTTGGCTCCCAACAGGACTCTAGCCTCTCCACGCTACTTTTCCCACCGCGTGTCATCAGGCAGTCTCGGGGGTTCAACGCTGATTGGCTACTGGGGTGACATTGTTTGCTCACCTTATCTTGCATTCGGGACCTCCACTGACAGATCGCCGGAGCTGAACCGTTCTCTCCCGGGAGGCAGAGTGCTCTACGGTGCCAGTCTTCTGTCCGAGGTTAATCTAATGTGTCTCTTTTGGGAGCTGCATCATGGCAGGCCCGCTCCCGCGTCCTTTGTTTCAACGCTGATTGGCCAGGATCGAAAGTTTGACAAATTCGGTATGCGTTTAAATTGATTACAATCAGTCACCCATGTGGAGTAAGATAAGATTTCCAGGGCACGTAAAATCCTGGGTGAAATTCGTTCTTGTGTTCCTCTACCTAAGTAGTCATATTTGCGAGATAAATTGGCGCAACTGATGTATCGTAAGGTATCTTTACCCTAAACTACATTGAATGAGATTAAGGAAGTCTTACAAACAATTCTGACGCCTAGACAAGTCCAAAGATGAAGAAACAGACGGACAATCGAATGACCGGGAGGTCGGTGAGGATGAAGAATCGCAAACGCGTGGGAAGCCAGATGGTGATCTTACAGAAACCAGTGAGTTTTGCTTCCTTGTTTTATTTTTTCCAATCTGTTTTTTGGTTTTCGTTAATTCTCACAATTTTTGCCGCCTTCTCCTGATTTCGTACTGTACACGACTAATCTGTCTGCAAAGCTTCGACAAATTAAGTCACGTGTTTTGATGAAGCAAGCTGTCAGAACTACGACGAATTCTTTTCCTAAGACGTCAGATACGTCAGTTTTGGGGAATATGGTAGTTGTGGAAAACCAGTTCTAAGCGGATCGTGAGTCAGTTGTAAGAAATCGATTGCGCTCACCACTTGACCCGACCTTAAGTCGAGCCCCAGACGCTGGTAGCAGTTGAACTAAATTTGTGTGTTTAAGTGAAGTGGATTGGCAGAACTATTCTGGCCTTAATCTCACCACTGAATCTCTGAAATCGGACACTTAGTGCCATTGCTCCCTTTAACTGCTTATCAATTGGCTGCATTGACTCGCAACTCAATTAGAAACATTCACGTTTGTGGTGTGGTGGGGAATAGTACAAGAAAACGCTTTGTTGTGGAGTCGGAGTGGGCATTTCTTTGTCACCTTGAGAACAAACGTCTTTTAGCCTTGATTTCAGCATTAAGTGAGAAAGCCAGCATTTTCGACAGGTTTCAAGAAAGTCGCCCATACCGACAAAATTAGATGTGTTTTTCCGGAAGAACTCATTTGTCGGAATTGGTATGGAAACTGAGGTGTTGGGATTTTTCACACGTAACTTCAATTACCGTCGTTTAGATCAGCCTATTAGAATTGATGATGATCAAACTGTAGCTAAAATTGTCTCCTCAAAGCTAAATAAATGGGCTAGATTTTGCGCAACGCATGAAGCTTACAAGGCCGTGAAAATCGCGACTTTTGGAGCTTTTAACTTGGAAAATTAGGCCAACTTCTCCTTATTAAAAAGATACGTGATTGGAAGGTCTTTCTGCTAAATCTAATTTATGATAGATTAATTTAGTCGTTTTTGACTTGTGCATTCCTGTGAAGACAATTAACATTTCGTTTTTTGTTAATTTTGCCAGTACCACGAAGGGCAGTAGGAGGTCTGGAATGCGTTAGAAAGAGTGCGGACATCTTAGAAATGCTACCTTTTTTCCGAAATTTGTGGTATTCGTTCTCACTGAAATTTGCCATTTTCAGCGATACATGATTGGTTGAGTGGAAAGGTCGATCCTGATTGGGTTGTTCCAGAGAGGAAATTGACATTTTTCTTGTTAATTATCTACTTCACAAAGTGAAAAAAAGAGATCTGGATGCTGGAAAGAGTGTTCGAATAACCGAAGAGCATCTACTTCCCTAAAAAATGTTTTTAGTCTTTCATCTTAAAAATTTCAATTTTAGCTCCAAATAATTGGTTGTGTGCAAAATTGATTTTTATTGGGTCCTTTCGGACACGAAAACTGTGGCTGCCTTCTTAGTAATTGGATTCGCTTATTTTTAGATAACTCTGAGACACAAATCAAGGGAAACTCAGACAGCACCTCCACCGAAAGTCACACAATTGAATCACACGGTGACACTACGGGTAAGTTGCCGCCACTACCAATAGACCAATCCGACTAAAATGTTTACAACCAATCACTGGCTGGCCTGAAGGCTCCACCACGATTCGTCCGGCGTTTTTAGGGTCAGAGACGAAATCTGAAGAGGCGACATCTTCGAAGCCAAACATCGAGGCCCTCGATGAAACAGGTAAATGTCTGAGTCTAATAAGGTTACGTCGCTTCCATTCACGTCGATGCCAGCTCATTTACCTGCAGACGAAGGCTCAGTCAACTTGTGTGAGCGTTTCCAAGTTGACTTCTACTCTCCCGGAACAACTATTGTGGACCTGAGCACTCGACTGCGGTCACAATTCGAGGATGACGCCAACAAGGCCTCGGTGATCTACGTCGGCTGCTCGTCCCTTATTTTGCTCAGTAATGCCACCCAGAGCCTTCTGGATGTCTGCACACACGACTGCCGTCTCATCGTCGAGTCCGTCTTGTGAGAACCTTTAAACCCGTTTTTTTCGAAGCCCAATGCAACCTACTACACAAGTTCACTAAAAAAGCCTAAAAATTGAATATTTTTTAGGTATATTGTGGGTTTGAAGGAGGAAGCCATCAGGAACTACGTCAAACGAGCTGGCGAGATCGCCTCGTCTGTTGGTTTCAAGGTGAATTTCTGTCTTTCTACTCATTACATTTAAGTAGAAATGGTTTTATGACTGCTCAAACACAGGAAAAAACCCTACACTACCTCAGTCACGACAATCAGCTGCCTTTCAGTGCTTCTAAAAAACGGAATTCGTCTTAGCCTAATCAAGTTGGATTCTCCCTTACTTTGTAGTGGGTGAAACCTGCAGATCCGATGAAAGACCATCATCTCTTCTTCATCCGGGACTCGAACCAAGAACACACCTGCTAGTAGCGTGATCATTTATAATGCCGACGTTTTTTTAAAAATGTAGTTATTGTTATAATATTCAAATAAAGATTAACAGCAAGCGTGTAAAATTTACTCAGATAATGCGAGCAACGGGAGATCAGTGGATGGAAATTAAATTAATTGGTCTCCTGGGGAGCAGTCAGAGTTTTTACCGCCACATTTGAACGACAGCTGATATTTCTCGAAGATTCCTGTCAATTATTATTTGAGGTAAATGTCAAATTACTCGAATCGTTGTGTTCAAAGGTGCTGTTTTGAGCAAGCGTCTTCAGCATATTTTAGCTTGATGCACAAGCCCATCGATTTCAGTTTTAGTGTTGTGCCAAATAAACGAAAATTAATCAATCCAAATAGTGCATTCTGTTTGCATTTAAGAGTTCTTTCAACCTTTGCCAAAACCACTTGAAGTATTAATGTTTGGAGAACAAATAACCACTTTCGGATCAGAAAAATTGGCCATTTAAGATGGCCGACTAAACCGACCAATAGGAGCGCTGCATCAGGAATGCCACAAATCCCGCTCAGATCAGCTGACTTGGTGTTGGTAATGCGGCTCCAATCAATAGCGTGTCGGATTCTACAGCTGTTTTTTAGTTTGCACTTCTGTGGCTGACCTGACAAAATGCGGATTGACACCGGAGTGTACTTTCAATGTTAGGGGTTGTGCTAAGCATAATTCAAGCACACACAATATTTACTAGTGTAGCACCTTGTCACCGGTAATTTTCAGTCACACAAAGCCCCTCAAAGCTCAATGGCTAGCTAGGGTTTAATGCCGAAATCCAATTTCGGGTTTCCTCACTGTCACTGTGGTCTCTCATTCCCATTTAACATAGTTTGGAAATTACGCGCACAATTTAATGTCAGAAGCGTATGTGAATCTCTTAAGTGACATTTTTCTGTGCCAGTAATCGCTCAAATGTTTCGCTGTTCAAATAGTGACTGTCAATCCAGATTAAGGTAGCAAATTCAATCAGTTTATGATGGCCGCCTCCGCTGACATCGCGATCGACCAATAGGAGTGCAGAATTATGAGTCACAACCTATAAGCCTCCGAGCTGCTGATTAGTGAGTGGTTTGAATTCGAAGTATTTTATAAAAAGTAAAAAAATTATGCATGAATTATTGGAGCATGAGGAGCGAAAATTAAAGGAAAGACAACCTTTCCACCTACTTAAAGCCAGTAAATTGGTTATTTCAATAGCAGTTTTGAAAACGGATTCATACAAGCGCTCAGTCGTAGCGAATCAGTAAAGGCTGTCAGTGACTTCCATTGTATTGTATTGAGTGATCTGGAGAACCTTGTTTAAATCATTTAGCCGAGTCGAATTTAGTCCGGACGAGTTCATTACGGCAGATGAAGCAAGTAAATAAGGAAATACGCACAAAATGCTGGTTTTTTTCTCGTCGAAGGGTCGTCCACAATGTACGCGGACGGTCTTAATCAAGAACACCAATTTTCGCAAGTGCTTGTGATCTTTTTAAGTTAGCTGCTCGCCATTGGACTTATTACACCCCGGAATGCCTGTTTGGTTTAAGAAAGCAAAGATCATGTCCCGAGTTATTTCAAAAAATGGAAATTTTAACAAATCCTGCGCTGGGACCTGAACGCTGTGCCGTGAATAGCCCCACGTGATGAGCTTTGAATACACCTCACATGTCTGTGCATCATGAAAATGCCCTGGTGCCTGTCCGTCCCACTAAAATTGTCTGACACCTGCAGCCCAGGTGGTGCTTGCTTCTGATTGGTTCAAACTGGCCAATCTTTTTTACCTAATCACGAACGTCCATTGGGTGGTTATTGATTAACTTCGTGCTGCTAAAAAGCGAATGGTCATTGACTTTGTACAGACACATCGTCCTCGTATATTTCAGTGCGTTTTCTTATTACACCGACGTTAACCAATAATACTCAATTCGCAGGCTATAGAGACAAATCGATAGCGAGTATCTAAAGCGATAGGTGGGGCGAACTCACAGGAACCAATAGCGAAACCCAGTTTCAATACTTCTGCTTCCAGTCCTTCCGTCTCGACTTTGACCGATGCCTCCGAATACTTGCAGACCAATGACCGTGGCGCACTTTTTGGCTCTCTCTCTGCCCGTCCTGAGCCAGTTTGAAGAGATTTTGCCGCCTCAAACTCCTGCTTAGCTCTTTTATCCCCTTAACAACGCCTTTTCGCATGTTTTCGATCTCTTCAGGTGGCGGCTGCTGCTGTTGTTGTGGCTGGCCCTGCTGTTGTGGTGGTGGTGGTTGATTTTGTTGTTGTAGCTGAGTGCTTCCACCTCCAAGTCCGCCATCACACAGATGATTGCAGTTCGCGCACACGTGGGCCGAGCAGCCGGTTGATTTCTGACGCGCCGGTGTCTTTTCCTTGTGTTTTTTCTCCTCCTTGCCACCACTCTTCCTTTTGCGGTCGGCTTTTGGAGGGCGGTGGTGACGATCTTTGCTTCGATGGTCGTCGTGGTTGCGCTGGTGGCTGCGGTGTTGGTGCTCTGGGGTATGATGATGATGATGATGATGATGATGACTATGCTGATGACGATGATGGTCGTGGTTGGGTTGTTTTTCCACGCACCCAACAGAATGACTGCGTCTTACCTTAGCCTGATCATGTTGGTGCTGGTGTCGACAATGCTCGCGTGGCTTCACATGTCCACGACTATCACTGCTCGCCGACTTGTGGCGTCTGTGTTGTCTGCGTTCATTTGATTTTTGCACGTATTCCGCGCATCTGTCAGCCGAACTTTGTGCGCACAATTTCCGGTGACAACAGCAGTTTTCGTGGCGGCTCTTCATTCCGGTGGCGAAAGACGCAGGCCCTCGAGTGTGCACCTTTTTTCATTCTGCCAAGCCCGTCAATTTCAATTAGACGATCCAGCGATCAGTCAGCCAATGGGAAGTGTCTGTGACACACTCCATTTACGCCTAATTATGTTATGGCGCACATTAGCATATGAATCAGTGTGAAAGAGGCCCTCATTTTGTTTAATTTAATTTGGCTAAACAATCGAATCTACTAATTGTGTCATCCGATTGGGTAGTTTAAATCTTACGAGTTCCTTCGTTCCACTGAATTGGTTATGGGCGTGATCTCATTTTAAGCTATATCCAATGACAGAAACGTGTAATTTTAAAGATCGTGGAAGAATACCACTTCAAAATGCGAAAACCGCCGTTTCTTTGTTCCACGAAAGAAAACCACATAACTTCGGAATCATGGACCTCACATCTACACAAGGACGAGTCGTTGATGTGGCTGCCAAGGACTGTTTCAAATTGATTATAACCCACTCAAATTACTCAACTTATGCAGCACCTAGTCACCGAGAATTTTCGGTCACACAAAATCCCTCAATGCTTACTGACAAGTCAATGTTTAATGACAAAATCCAATTTAGGGATTACTATCACTGTGGTCTCCCATTAAAATTTAACATAGTTTGGAAATAACGCACACAATTTAATGTCAGAAGCTTATGTGTAGCGCTTAAGGGACATTTGATGTGCCAATAACTGGTTTAAAAAGTTCCGCTGTTCAAATGATGACTGTCAATCCAAGTTTTAAGGTGGCAAATTCAATCAGTTTAAGATGGCCACCTCCACCGACATCGCGATCGACCAATAGGGGTGCAGAATTACGAGTCACAACCAATGAGTCCTAGTATGCGAAGCCCAGAACCTGTTGAAGAAGCCGGCTCAATTAAACACTGCACTTTATTACAGACAGGTGAATTAATGTTATCTCCATTTTTGGATCGCGAGCAGTGCTGTCATGGTCGCTCAAATGATTTGTATTTGCGTCAAGTGGCCGAGTTCTGAGGTCATGGCCTAGCATTAGTAGAACGCCCCATTGTCAGTGATTGGTTCCCGAGCATTTGCAATTTTCTTGGCTTTTCACTGTGCCAACCCAAAAAACGTAATTTCGTGATTATTACGTCAGCAAACAATTGGCAAGAAAACAATACTACTTATGATTTTTAAGTAATCTAGCAATAGTCCATGATTTCTCTCACGAAAATTGGCTCGACACAAATCTCGTACCCTCATATTTAAGCAAAATGACAAATTTAGTTGCCCAACATAGACGGAGATGGATCGCAACATTGAATAGTGTCCGAGATTTGACCAACGTGCCAATTTCCAAATTAGTTTTAGACAGCAATTACTGCCGTTGTCGTTGACTCAAATAAACAACCACCCTCCTGCCTAATCCCACATAATCGCCTCACTAAGCGCTTGTTTGAGCTAAGCCGCCTACAAAATAACTCCCCAGTTTGTCAGATTATCCGCTTGTGTAACCTCGTTTTAATCCATGCCAAAATTTTCCTAATTGCAGCTATATAAACGTATCAAACTGGCTACGATTCAAGCCAAAACTGGGACTGATTAAAAGACTCAAAGTTGTCGATTTGAAACAATTCGGATTTTGAATTCAAATAGCGTGAAGTATTTTCTTTGAATTTGCCTGAAGGTCGTTTCCTTGACGTCTGCTCACAATTTAATCGATTTTTTGCTGACTGCATTGTGCTTAATACAGTCTCGTACCTGCTATTTTAGTGTGTTTAGAAAAATCTCTGGCACCAAAATCACTTGTTTAAATACCTTCATTTAAAATATGTTCAATTCTTGCACACACAAAGCTTAGAGGAAGTCAGAAACTCAAATTTCCGGCTAAGTGGAAATTACGCCAATCCCGATGATACGAAAATGCGGTGCTGCATTTGCTCAAGTCCGCGATATCACCAAACTCAATCCACCTCCTTCTATTGGCTAGCAGACAATATTTGTATTGCTAATGTGATTGGCTGCCGTGTGATTGGTGTTTCGGGCGTAAATAAAGACTTTTTTAAATTGTTTTAAGAAAATCCATTCTGCTAGCAGTTTTGGAAGATTTGTTAAGTGCATTTCCAAGGGAACAATCTTGGCTAAAAATTTTGGTGAAAAAGAGATTACTTTTTTTCAGGAAAAAAAGCATTCTGGACGATTTTAGGAAGTAAGAATTGTATCCTTCAGGTGACATTTATACTACCCTGTTGGCCTGATCTTCCAGTTGCTTTCGAAAACATTTTCACCTTGCTGCATTGAACTCTTGACCTCTTCGGATTAGTAACTTCTGTGCGGCTTGCGTCATCGCCTGCACCATCCACCGCTGCATTAGCGGAGTTGTCCAGTGTCTCGACTGAGATGTGCCAGTTCTCTCAAAACTAGATTATGTGATCCGAAGAATCTGAGAACACCTGTGTGTGGTTAAATTATTGCAAATTCAGCCCACATGCAACCTTTGTACCCCGACGCAGTCAGTTTTTAGGTGACAAGTGTGATTAGACTTTTTCGCATCACCTGCCTGCCCTCAACAATCCGCGCATTTGAAGCAAGCACCGAGGTGGGTAAGAACTACCAGCACCAGATTTTGTGTCGAAGACAGGGAACGAAGTCACAGGCGTGGTCACGGGATTCTGTGCCTATTAAATACTCTGGTTTTGTATAATGGAAATCTGCACCAATTGTGATTCTGCGTCGTCGTCTTTATCATCATCAATTCAACGAGTTTTTTTTTTAGAAAAAGACTAGTTCTTTGGATATTTAAAGGAAATGCAAATCACTCGCAGCCGAAATTAAACAATTACTGATGAGTTGGAAAGTATGGAACGCGATTCTTTCCCAAGTTGCTAATTCTGGCTGTTTTAATTTGATTGTTTTCCAATCTAATTTCATTGGTTGTCGGGTGTGACATCAAAATTGGCTATAGCGGGCCTAGCAGGCTGCTCACAGTAAGGAATGTCCTTGTAACCCAACGAAATCGACTGTCTGACTGGTTTCTTACGTATTTACGTGGTTTTTAATGGTCTGCCGCATTCGGATAAGGAGGTTATTGTGTACGATCGCCTTCAACCACCACCTGTGATGACTCGTTTACTGCAGTGAATTATGTCGATTCAAGCCCAACAACCTCACACACGCGTCCCCCTTTTCACGGCGTTCCGTCAGCCGCTGGGAACGCCTGCTCATTCACCCCCGCCGCATGTACCACCACCACCCGCTCTACCCATGTGACCAATCAGACGTCGGTATGTTTGCTAGACCACTCAACCGTATCAGTAAGGCGATACAACTGCGTTGAGTTGTCTAGTAAGCGGTACTTAGGGTAGCGTAACCGGGTTAAATTAGAGCAGTAGCCCCGGTGTGGTTTAGGAGGCAATCGCAAGTATTTAAGTCGCTTTTAATTGTTGTGCGTGGAACGGTTAGCCGCGAGGTGATCATGACGACGTTGGAAACAGGTTTACGTACTCTCTGTCCGTTAGCAAAGCAAATTTTACTCTGTCGAAGATGTTCGTTTTGCACTCGGTGTTGATATTAATGTTAAAACAACGCCAACAATATGCTCTAAGTGAAACAACAATGCCTGCTTGCAAAAAATGAAACTAGTATACTGCCAGTCCATTCAAACAAGCGTACTGTGTCGAATCGACTTTTGCTGAGCAACAATCTCCGTGACGTGTTTCCGCTGAAACTGAGCGGTATGTTTCCCTTTAAACAAATAAACGGCAAAACACCCCTTTTTGAAGAGTCAAAAAAGTTGTGCAATTGCCATTGGCTGGGGTGAAGTGATTCCGCCGATTTAGCGCAAAACATATCAACCAACAGAGGTTATTGAAAATAACTATTTCCGGTTAAGTCGCCCTCAATTGTTTGGTGAGAAACAATTGGCCGTGTGCCCTTCAAGTGGAAAATCTCCAGAACATTCTGTTGGGCAATTGACTGGGCATGAATCCAATCATTCCTCTGGCGTCGTCAGCTGATTGATTGACGTCGAAAATGACAGTTAAACTTAACCCCAAGCTAACAACTGAAGAGCGAATTGTAAAAAAATTAACTAAAAATCGTCTTCATCATATGGCAGTTTTGGAAAAAGCAGACATCTTAATTGTTAACTTGAATGAGTTAGCCAAAATAACCATGAACACGTGACCTTGAAGCGTTGGTAAATGTTCCAGAACCAAATTGTGGTAACAAATGTAACCATTCCGTGCCTGCAGATTCAAGGCGTAAAATTGCGCTTATGTGCTGCAAATCTGAAGCTCGTTCTTAATTCAAATAAACCACGTGACGTTCATTTTAAACAAATGCAATTTTCCAACCGCACTTCGTTGCCCCAGTTGCTTTTAAGCACCATATCAACATTATTTCAGGGAACGAGCATCGTTTAAATTCAATAGCTTTTTGTATCCTGTTAATCCCAACTTTGAACTCCTGGGTGTGGCAGTGTCAAATTTACACCAACTTTCCCGTAAATTGGTCAAATTTGGGCTAAGATAAACCAGTAAACTGTTACCTCTTTACCTTAAGCTGCAAGAGTCAATTTGGACCAGCTGTTGAGACGGAGCGAGTGTAAAAAAAGACAAGATTTATTTTAACTTGATGGTAAATCCCATAGGATATCGAGTCATCATAAGATTGGGGGCTGCAGGAAGTGACGAAGACAACAAAGACGACGACGACGATGATGATCAAGGTGATTACATGAGGTCGCTCAACTCCTGCAGACCCTCCCTGTAGCGCTTGTCATGCATGCGTTTGCGGTTGTGGATCGGTGGCTGGGGATATCTCTGGTGTCTGCTGCTGCCACTGCTACTGGAGTGATGTGAGCCCGAGCTCTGCACGGGTTTCGGTTTTTGAACGATCTTCTTGTTGGAGCGGTAACCCTGGTAGCTTTGAGGACCTCTCCAAATTACGGAGCGTCTGTGGGTTCCTGCGGCACCTGCCAGCGGGCCTGCATCATCATCATCCTCCTCATCGTCTTCCTCATCCTCCTCGCCGTGGTGTTCACCTCGAAAGTGGTCATCGTCGTCATCATCATCGTGGCGGAAGTGACGGCGACCGTGGTGTCCTAGACAGCGAAACATTCTAATTGGCAACGCATGCGGTGCACTCCTATTACGCTTGTTTATGAATTTCGGATCCGCAATTTACACTCATCAGTTACATTCCGAAAATCAACGTGGTCTGTTGTACACCTCTGTCAGGCGCTGTTTTACTTCTCAATGACCACCAATCTTATTTCGTGGTCCTGATTCCGCATCACACAAAACATGAGGCAAGGACTACTGTCAACATGTTTGTTTAAACGTTCTGCATTACGGTGCCAAGGTCATTTAAAAAATCAATGTAACCTCAGGACACAGTGGGGGAACTCACTTGAGTGATCAGCGAGCGCGGTGTAAACTAACGCGAGCAGCAGAATGAATTTGAGAGTCTAAAATGAGAAAATTCAACATTTTCAGGGGATCAGTTTGGCAGAAGGGATTGAGCAGCCGATTGGGCGAGATTTCTCATCTTAACCGCCAAAATTGTTTGAATGAAATTCTAGTCTTTCTCTCAACTAACTGCAAAGGGCGACTAGTTTGGTGGTAGACGGTTGTTGTAGACACACGACTTACCTGCATAATGTGTGGAATTGAAATGAAGTGCGTACGGTGTTCGTGCGCTTTTATACTGGAATGTGCTCCATCGTTACTCGCTCGTCATTGGTTTTAACAAACAACGTCAAGTGACGCCTGTTTGTTTATCCGTGTTAAAAGGCGCCCACTCAAACAGTTACAAGTAAAATGATTTGTCTTGACGAGTTTTGCACTCCTCTGCCCAGTTACCTTTCCCATGGAATTTTGGTGTAGATTTTTTTCAAACATAGTTTTATTTATGGCGCGCAGTAGGAACCAATAAAAACACCGATTTTGAGGTGATTCGTGTTTCGTCACAATGATTTCTGCCCTATGAAGCAAATTGGTGAGCTTCAATTTTGAATCTTGCATGGACGTCATGTGTACAAGTCACCTGGATAATCGATTCAGCTAATCGATAAACCACAACAGGAAGTACTTGCAGCCAATGAGAAACCCCGATATCTATTTATCTTACACCTGCAAATCGATTAGAAGGCTAAAAGGCATTTAACTACCCAAAAATGTAGTGAAACCAGAACAGCGATGAGCGTTGTAGGTTGCAGCAATTTTAAAAAACCAAACACAGGATGTGTAAAGTCACTTACAAATCAAGAATATCACACACACATTCTCAAAACTATATGCAGTTCTCGGATTCTAGCGCCTGTCTTAAATATACACACTTAACTCACCGACATCGCTCGTGTGTTCTAATTGTCATTCAAAACAAGTGTCTTTATATACTACTCAAGCGATTAGAAGTTTAATTGACTAGAATTGTGAACTAATTACTTCCGGTGACATTTAATTGTTGTTTAAATGGCCCAAACAGTTTCTTTTATCTTCCCAGTAGGCAGTGGAAAGGTTAGATTTACCGATGACAGGATGAGAGGCGAATAAATCTGTTTGACAATGCCGGGATATCATCCTTGTTGGGTTGAAAAGAAGCTGATTGCTTTAATGTGTTGACCTTTGCATACCAGACGCGCTGAGCTTGTTACCACATGTCTGTTTTGCAAATTTCGTTTAGTGGAAAACGCGATTTTAGCATAAACCAGAAAATTATGTATTCGAAACGTACCGTCATCACGCAAACCCCTAAGAGACACGGCGTGCAATTTCGGCTCTATTTATACCAGGCGATCTCACCAACCTCCAGGCTAATTTGCATTTCATTACCAAATTGGCTTAGTAAAATTAATCGTCTAGTAAGCTGTTTAAAGCTCTCTAACAAAACGCTCCGTCTCGTGGTGCTTATTTTATGGCATTTTGAAATCAACATACTGGCTAAATCCTACGAAAGTGTTACTTGGGGCTACGTAAATAACTAAATTTCAGCTAATTCGTCGCAGATCACATGGTCAAATCCCAGGGCAACGTTAATGACGTCTGCGAGCGTTCGAAACCATCATGAAGTGTGTCGGGTGTGACGATGTAGTGTAGGTGGTTGGAGAGATATAAACAAGGAGATCGGAGTGCATGTGTTTGTGTGCTTCAAAATCACACACGTATATTCACTACGTAATTTCTAAATTCCACTCGATTTGGGAATTATTCGACTTTAGTAAATAGCAGCTGCTAAAACAGGCTGTTTAAATCATTCGCTTTAGATCTACGTGCCATATTTAATCCCATGGCACCGACCAAGAGACCAATCGATTCTTATTGATTTTTCTCCTAGCTAATTCGCACAAACAACCCCGCTAACTTTCCTTCCATTTCGTAAATTTGGCCACGCCTTTGTGACCTCGTTCCATATTTGATTGCATTCTACGTTTAACTCCTGTGATTCCTGCAATTTAAATCTCAGTTACTTTAACACTCTAATCGGTTTAATATTTGATAAGGCCATGTCGCGGAAAGCACATACCTCACGTTATGTGACCTAATTCACCTGTGTTGCTGTTTTTTGTTCATGAATGTGCACGCAGATGCACGCCCAGACGTGTTCGCGTGACCCATGAAACCGCAGAGAAAGAGCCGCAACTCAACAGACACGTCATTGACGTGAAAAGATTGATTCACTAAGACGTCTAGACATGCGTCGACAGAGCTGATAAACTTGAGTTAACACGAGTCACTACACTCTAATTTTAACCTGACACAAAATTAATCTGAGAGCAGGCTCTAGCCAATAGGAGTCAAGGCACGCGGGACAGTGCAGAGGGTCGAGATTCGAGTTTAAATGCTTACAATTAATCAAGTACATCTCACGTGAATACACCACAGGTCGCTCGGTCTCCATGTAGACACTCCACCAGTGACCTTGAACCCACATGCTCTGGGAGTGTTGGTAACTAGGTGGCAAGCTTACACATACATTTGCTTAATCCCTTTTAAAAAAATGCTCCTAGTGAAGCGTTCTGGAAGTGTATCTTATTCATTTTTCTTTCTGGTTGGTTACTGTTCGTCTTTAGGATCTTCCATTCTGTTCCAATCATTTGATTGGAGATACCTGAGGACCACACCGGTACAGCCCAATTTGGCTGCGCCCTCAGGCTTTAATGAGTCAAAAAGTGAGCGTCTAGATTAAAGATTCCTCTCTCCGATAAATGTTTAAAAGATCGGGATCAGTAGGCCTTCTTTTTCTAAGGCGACCTGATTATCCATCATGTGTCACGCGTCAAGATCAGCCAAGTTTATCCAGCATCCAATTGTTTTGTTAATTAAAACGAATTGATCAAAGGCCATTTTTGTCGAGTTCTGATAAGTATGGTTTATACTATTCATTTTGCTATCGAATTCGCAGGATTAAAAGTTAAAGTGTAGGATTTTGACTAATTTAGACTTCTTTTCTTAAGCTAGTTGCTTCGTTTTTAGCCCTTTTAGTGAGATTTATCCGAATAAACCAGCAACCTTTAGTGAGAGTTCGGATACCAGTAACCAGGTAACCTTGATTTTACTGAACGTTTTCTTGCGTGATTTCTGTGACCTTGCAACCCGAACCTTTATAAACAAACAACTGATCAAGACGCAAACGAAATTCTCATCTTAGTTTGCTTCATGTAAACAAATGTCGTGTTTTTGCACCTAAGGGTGATTATAAGTACACAAATACGATCATAAACAATGTCAGGTGTCAGTGTAATCAATGTAAAGCAGACCATTTTATTCCCACAATAATGATTGGCTGATGGTCACTTCTCAAGGTCATTTTGAATGAGTGCACTTTTAAGCCAAGATGTCAGGTGTTTATAAAGACTTTGGCATATGAATTTACCAAACTAGCAGGGCTAATTAAGCGAAATAATTCTATATTTTCATCTACCAAACCTTCGTGATATTACACTCACAGCTTTCACAGTTCTGAACTCATGTGGCTGTAGACGGTCCACACGGTCACGCGTCGTTAGCTATGGGAGAATGCGCTGGCAACATGTGGACCTAACTTCATGCATTGCGGCATTGAACGATATCCAAGCGATCGGCGGTTCGAAATGACTTTATCGGCATTACTTAAGTGACATGAATTATTTACTGCGGTCTGTTTTTAATTTCGGTTAAAAAAGGCAGTTCAGGCAATGACTATCAAACTACAAAAAACCGGAATACGTTTTACTACTTTCTGGTTCTAAGTAGTCAAAATGCCGGCTTACAACATTTGTTTGAGAGAGTGCCCGAAAATTGTAGTAAGAGATTTCACAACTGCATTGACAAAATTAAATAGCTTACAGAAGATAAGCATTTTATTCATGTAACTTAGTCTCTATAAATGTCAAATTTTGACAGCAGTGGACTCCAGCGAAAATTTATGGATACCCAGATATTATATGACACTGGTACTGATACTAGTTTCAACCGGCGTAGTGTAATCATCACAAAGAGTCATGCAAATACTCTTAACTATCCACATCATAGGGATTTGTTACACACACAGAAATAAAATAATCATCCGTAGGCCTTCGGTACAAATTCAATTCGAAAAGTTTATGCAGAAGGACTGTTGCTAAGATCATTCTATCAACTTGTCTACAGGCTTGTGGGTATAGCTTGTAGGTGGTGCATTACTTATGGCCTTCCCGGATACCCGATTCGACTTATAAAACATAGCTGCCTAGATTTCGTACTTTACATGCTCTCCCTTTAACATAAACCTGACAAAACAGCAATAGCCATTGATGTAAGACTGTTGCCAAGTTAACTTCATTACGGTCCAAGTTCAACGTTTATTCTATAAGCCACGAACCTAATTAATTCCTTCAACACCGAAATCGTACTATAATTGAATTATTACTGAAATCACCGTCACTCGAAAAGAAAAATAACTCGAAGGCCAGGAAAATTGTCCACCGTACTCGGTATGCTTTTAGTAGAAATGTGGTATAAAATTGCTATTTTGCGTTACGGAAGTAGATAAATCAATGCAAAATTAGAATATTATTCTAACAATTCAACTGCACTCCTTGCAGACAACAGTGCATCGCTTAGGCGCCTTCGTGCTTTTAGTATTGAAGACAATCTCTCGTTTAAACGTACTTCTTGATTATTTGTGGCAGCAGCAACCAATAAACTTGTGCACTAGTTTTGTGTGTGCCCATTTTGCCACCCGCGGTTTTTGAATTTTCGTTGTCCAAAAATGCATTTAGCTGGCTGGCCTCGTGGTACTGCAGAGAAATTCCTGCATCCTGCACCTGCCTCAAAAACCATAACTCTGTACGTTATTTAACATGTCCTTTGTGTGGAATCCTCTCTACCGAACGGTTTGCAAATCAGGCGTTGTTTCTCGACTGCCCCATTTTAACGAACCTGTTTATGTACATTTAGACTCTGTTCCCTCCGCTCTGTCAACATAAGTTAAATTTGTACATTTTTAATATAGCATACTATTTTTCAATCATTGGTGAAACAATGATTTTTGATTGTCTTTAGTTCCCCTGTTTGTACCTCCCCCATCCTGTCCCTACCCTGAATTGTCTCGGTCTTCCGACCATAATGTTTTAAAAAAACTTAAACATCTAGATATCCTCTGAAGAGCTACAGCTTTGGAACAAAGGAGCCTAATTATGAACGCGATCGTAGTGTGCCCGCGCGTTTCCAGAGACTGCAGGAGGATTTCGAGAAATATGGTATGAGGCACTCCGTTGAGGGTGTCCTCTTGGTTCACGAGCATAACCTGCCCCACGTCTTACTACTCCAGTTGGGGACGTTTTTTAAACTCCCGGGTGGCGAGTTGCATCCTGGGGAAGAAGAAATGGAGGGTCTTAAGCGGTTGCTCTCTGATGTAAGTTGAGCTTTCTTTCCAAATGTGCGTGTTTACTGAGAAAACATAGTTTACAACGTTATGCGTGGTGTGGCAAGTTAGCTCCTCAAAGTGATTATCCTTTTCACACAAACCGCTGAGTGGTTAAGCAATCCGTTATGTAAGAAATACCAACCTCATGTCAAATAGTATCGTCTTTGTTCATGGTAGTTTTGGTCAAACACGAGTTGCCTGGTATGTATCTACGTCGTGTCATTTCTTTCCATTTTTATCAAATAGTCCCTGATACCAATATAAGTTCTTGAAATATTGGTTCTTTCAGATGCTTGGCCGAACAGACGGTGTGCCGGTTGAATGGACTCCAGAGGAATGTATCGGGAACTGGTGGCGTCCGAACTTCGAGCCTCCGCGTTACCCCTATATCCCAGCTCACGTCACCAAACCCAAGGAGCACACTCGTCTGTATCTCATCCAACTCCCTGAAAAAACCCTTTTTGCCGTTCCCTCGAACTACAAACTGGTTGCCGCGCCTCTTTTTGAATTATTCGACAACTCGCGCGCCTACGGGCCCATCATATCGTCCCTTCCCCAAGTCCTCAGTCGGTACGTTTTGGTTGTGGTGTCATATATTCACCACATGTTGCTTTAGCAAACATTCCGATTCCGTAAACATCTTAATCACCTAGTAACATCTATGATCCCACCTTCAAATTTACCAACTCGATGGTTTGCAACCGCTAGCTCAAAGTCGGTTCCATTCAGTCATTAGTTAAACGGCCAAGATTTTTTTATTAAATTGTTGGAATAATGACGGGGTTAAAACTGTCTAAAACCGATATGGCCCTTTGTGTAAGTTGCGGCATGTGGTGTGCTACTTACTAGACTTTGCACAACATCGTTATTGTCTGACTTTTAGGTTCAACTTCGTTTACAACGACTGAGGGTGGCTTCAGGTTGTTGCAATTTTTTTGTCGGATTTCCCATTTATGTGTTTTTGTACATTACATCTTTCTTATCATTTGTGCTCTTCGTGGTTACTTCCTGGGGTGGGATTTCAGAATTTGAAAGTAATATCTTGAAATCGCTTACCTCAAACACTTTCAGTATGTGTTCAATAGATCGAGTATTCACCGTTGTGTGGGCTGCGCTAGAATTGGATTTCAGGATTTTAGGTAAGGATGGAGTCGCCGGTAAGCTTAATATTCTAACAATGCAAAAATTGGGAAGTGAAGAAGAGCGTTGTTCCTGTCATCTGCTTGATTTTCGTCTTGCTCGGTTGTTGTGTTCAGATGTCTAAGCCAAATGATGGTCCATCAAGGGTCTTTCAACATAGAGGACATGTCAATAAATTTGCGCCATGTCGTTTAGGCTGTGGAATTGATATGGGTAGTCGTCTAGGCGTATTCGATGTTGGCGTACTTTCGAAGTGGTTTTTGTAGAATTCCAAGTCAGTTGCTCCGCTTGGCATTGTTCTTTTCTCGATGCCTGGTTTTCAGGGCTACTTCAGTTGGCGCTACATAACCTTTAACATGACCTATTTCGTCAACATAATTCCTATTCCAGCGTAGTTGCATGTTCGTGTTTGTGGGCAGTCATTTGAACAAAACACTTGTTAAACGCCAGACTAAACACAGAATTTGTTCGTCACATCCAACGTTCATCCAAAACTTTCATTTTGTACACTATCTCCGCGCCTTTGCTTAGCCTAAATGCATCTCTGCGCATGGTGCAAATAATCCAGGTACGGCGCAAGTTGTTATTTTTACACCAACTAATTTGTATCAAAAACTCGGATGGCTCGAAATTCAGTCGCTGCCGTGCAAAACCCCGCCACTGAACGGTTGTCTGGTGACCTTCGAACACGAACCAGTCAGAAGTCGCGACCCGCGAGTAATAATCGATAAATTCTTCCGCTGGCCTACGATAGCTGACTGCGCCAACTAAACTGGGCATGCTGTAAAATTTTTTCCTGTTCCCGGCTTGATGCCTTGCAGATGATGCCACTGGTGCTATTATTATCTAATTCAAACTACGCGTGAGATAAACGGCTGTACACACTTGACCTCAGCCAGTTCAGTAAAACGAAACCGGAAAATGGCGCGAAGAAGCGTTAAATGTGTCACACTAAGTTAGTAACACTAAAAGACACTTAAATGATTTCCTAGAGCTTTGTAAGGTTGATTTCAATTAGATTTGTGTTTAAAATGCAGTGATTAGGGTGTGTAATTTAAATATACGACATACTAGTCTTCAGTCCGTGAGCAGAATCCAGAGATGGGCAATTTAGTGTGGTATTGGGAGACCAAGGTTTCCACCAATCGAACTTCTCATTGTTTCGGCTATTATTTACTGATACAGGCAGTCACACCGCAATACAGGTGACCTCTGACCACCACTTGACCTACTTGAAGTCACAATTTGTAGAAAATCGGCTGCTATCTTTCTAAAACTGGTCTTCCACTGCTACAATTTCTTACAAAGCTGGGTACCATCTCTATGGAACTGACTGAACCTGGTGATCATCGGTTGTAAAAGCCCTTCAAGTGGACCACATCTGTGCGTTAAGAATCCGTAAACACGACTCCAGATGTTAACTTATAAATCCACCAGAGGGCTTTACTCACTGCGAGCTGCCTCGAATGCTCCAAAATTGCATTTTGGTGGATTTGTTTTGCTTCCGAGCGCATTTTGGCTTGAATTTTAGCTGCGAAAGCTGATTGGTCGAAGAAGAAATAACAAATTTGAATTACTAGCGTGGCATTTTTTGCAGGCAACCAGAGTAGGTTGAGCGCAGGACGTTCTGCCCACAAGCGTCACGTACACCCCAAAAAATTCCAACGACTTTGCAAAATATCACCTTTGAGATTTTAGGCGGATTAGCATTGCCTCGGCTGACCTTGAAAGTCGTTTCTAGAATTTTCGGTAAATCCACCTTGTTGACGCTGGAAGTACCTACTGAGGATGTGAAACCGGGTAAATCACTCATTGGTATAAAAGATGATGAAATTTTGAAGATGCGTCAACATTCATTTACCAAGTGTCTCGTGGCAACACATCAACCTCACGTGTGAGTCATCGCCACGTATTGAAATTCGTGGCATATTAAACCCCCCCCCCCATAAATGTAAGCATAATCCTTCGAAAGACAGCCCTGATTGGTCAGCTACGGATATCGCATCGACCGCCACACGACGTTTGCGATGGAGGTCGTGCACTGAACAGAAGTTTGACCTAGCCTGCACACATCAGGGTTAGCCCCTGCCCACGAAGGTCATTCTCTGTGGTCACTTATCGATTTTTGGCTCAAATCCAAGCGTGGAGTTCGCACAGTGCGTAGTGGCTTGTGGTTTCGCATCCAGCATCGTCTAGGGGTGTCACGATAGAAGCGAACCTAGTGCATTTACGCGATGCACTCCAAAATTGCCGCCATTTCATTGGTCGGTAAGGCCACGCTATTCAGCACCACTGGCAGATAACGGACTGATAGCGTTGGTGCTAAATTATCTATTGGTGCACCGAAATGACATATTTATTTAGTTTAAATTGCAACCCAAGCAACCGACAGATAAGCTCCCGTTACTAGAGAGATAGTTAATAGTGTGAAATCAGACTTTTATAGTTTTGTTCTGCAAATCTAAGCTACTTATTTTCAGTATTTGGTGCTATTGAAAGTTGTGAAGAAACAGCCTCACGAATCATCACGCCGTAAATGCAACGGTCGGTAATGTTCACGAAAAACCAGGTCCGCAGACAGAAAAATGTTTGGAAGTCCGTCAGATCAGTGAGGAACGCGGACGAATTCTCGCATTTTTCTGATTTGAACGGAGGCGACTTCACGGTCATTCGAGGTTCTCTGAAATGTCACCTTCCATAACTCAATCGCAGTAGGATGTTACTGGAGTAAGGTTGCAACAACCTAATGACAGATCCCCAACAAAAACCACTGTTGCAGTGAGAGGAAAGCTGAAATGTACTCGGCAAAGCCCAGCACAAGTCAACAAGGTCAGGTTAGAGTCGTGGACATCTTTTGTGCAATGATTTTCCGCGATGGTGATCTAGTAAAGATTTCCATCAATATCGGACGAATTAATGTCGATTGTATCTTTGGAATGTGGCAGTAGGTATTTATGCAAACACGAATCAATTGCTGTGACATCAATTCTTATCTCTGAAGCAGGTTTAATAATGCATTCTGTCGAATGCCGATCAGGTTATCATCGAACTATGTACAATCATGACCGCTTTACAGTGAAGATGCAGGTGCTGAAGACACCATGGTGGAATCACGACACACGCTTTGATGGCGCTTGTTTTTCGGATTGTGTGTCAAGGTACCAACGTTGGGTACATCTAGATACCCTCAAGAGATGTAAGCCGTTGTGGCGTTAGTAACAGTCAACTTCCACAATCCACTCTTGCACTGCCGCACTAGTATGCAGATATTCAGCTCAAACTATTGCCTACCCCAATGCGGTCTTCTGTATCTTGCTTACTGGTGTGGCATTCAGCCAATACCATCATCGTAGGTGCTATAGATAACCTTAAAATCACACGTCGATCGATCCGGTTATTTTTGCGTCAAGATTTAACTCAAATTTTAGAGTCTCCAGCAGTCATTTATAAATCAATGAACAACACGTTGAATCCGGAGTAAAATCTTATTGGCAGCTTGCTGTTATGTGGTCCATGAAGATGCCCTTTTAAAGCGTTCAAAAGTTCTACCGAGAGACTGGTTCAGTCTGTCAGTGAGTTGTAAGGTTTAGACACTTCTTGAAGACTTGTTAAATCTGCTTTATTTTGATCGAACAATCGTTCCTCGTGCCACCAGTCTAAGCGATTCTTCGTTATGGTTATTGTCGCTTCACTCGTCAATCAAAGATCCCGCGAAAATCCGAACTTCGTGTGTTTGGCCCTTCAGCATCCGCAATCACAAGACCCTTCAAGAGCCCGAACCAATCTCCCACATGGATAGAATGCTCCTGGGCCCCAAGTGTTCCCACAAATCGATTTTAGGATCTTTGAACAAGGGTCAGAAATTTGAGTTGAAAAAATGGATGAAAATACAAATTCCACAGGCATTTTGACTTCTGCCAGATGCATCCAAGAGTAGGATAGGCTGTTAACGATTCAACAAATCAACTAGAATACGATTCCACCCTTAGCAGGCGCCTCCGGACGTGCCGTCAATATCGCAAAATAGATGACTTCGACAACGAAATTAATTAATAAGCATTTTACTTGAAATCGCGTACGATTAGTACAAAGTGGGCATCATCTTCACCTATTCAAGCGCACCTCGAGAAAATGCCTAGATCCCAAGTCCCCCAATTCGCTGTTTGTCCTTATTGCATTCAAATCTGCCCAATTTTGTGTGATCGGCACCTTAATTATGGCAATGATAAGCTGATTTGAGTTCGTCAGAATGGATTGCTAAAGCTGCTTCCGCGTCGCTTTTAGTGATAAGGATTAGCGTAGCTGCATTTCGCCGGTATGGCTAGAAATGTCTAACATTTGTCGCAGGACACACTGTGAAGACTCATTGGCGAGCAATGAGCGAGTCGTGATTCCCCTAAGTCTGTACTGAATTCCTATCGTTTTTCAAACAAGAACTTCACAATCATAAATACTCCCGTTGGTTCGACGATAGCTAGGTTGACTTTCGTCAGAATGCTTTTACTTCCTGTTCAGTGATAGCAATCAATGTCGCAAATATTTGTTTGTGTTTGTAAAAGTGCACACCGACACAATCCATCGATGCATACACCGCCAGTGCGTGCATGATGTTTGGATGAAATAATGCACCAATTCGCCCTCCTGACGCATCTCCACTTACAAGACGGGGACGCTTAGTTGATTTGCGCTGGAATTTGGTGTGCTTGACTAAGCATTCGTGTCTCAGCGACAGTGATACCAATTCGAAGCAGACATTCTGCCAGCAGTAGTTCAGCCAACCAATCACAGAGAGAGGAGATATCGACCCCCTTTCTTGCTGTCCGAACGGAGGGCCGGCATATTCTGCTCACAGATTGTGATTTTCATCGACATATTTTTTTTAAAAACAACATCTATGAGTCTTAATCGACTCCTGGGAACCCTGGCTAATGATTTAACGAGGGTGGTTTGTGAATCTAACTAGAAGCCGACATGTTTAATGAACGTCGTTGGTCAGGCGTTATAAGCTCTGGTGATGTTTGAAACGACGTACCTAATAAACAACTAGATTTCACTTGAATTTTTTTACGTGTGACGAGCGCCATTCGACCCACGCACGCCGGTCTGGTCTGTTCTTTATCCTCCTCTCCCTTCCCGCACCCTCGCCTTCCTCAAGGCACGCCCGTGGGTCCGAGGGCAACACCAACCCTCCTCGCAGCCATCCCTTTCCCCACTCTAACTCTCCCTAAGCTCTAGCCCTCTGAATTTGTATGAGGTAGTATGGAATACATCCGGTTCTTCCAGCTATTCTTCCATCGTGTGCCTGGTAGCTAACCATGATGGTGTAGCTATCTAAGAGGGACGGGCTAACAGTCATCTTCCTACTTAGATCCCCGCTCGGTAGGCGCGTTACATTCGATCATGGCAACAGAACGTGAACTCCCCACTTCACCAAGATTAAAATGGATGAGAAGCACGATTTAATCGAGACCGCAGACAAGTCTCCAAGTCGAATGGGGTTCCACAGTTTTTCGAAAACAAGCAGTGCTGTTAACACTCCGCCTATCGTCTAGTGATGGCGAAAGTGAGGATGTTGACGCGACGCCGATACAACTGTAGTTGAGGTCGCCGTGAAATGTGGTCATTCACCTCCATAACCTCCGATTAGGCATGTGCAGACACGTTGGTAATTCACGCCTTTCCGCCAACCCGCGTCCACACAGCCCCACGCCATTTCGTAGCGGACACACCTGGGCATGTACGCTCCAGCACGCGCACAGAACACTGTAGCGCCTCAATGCAGAAACCGGCTCCCATGCAACCTGGCGGGCTGTCTGGAGCGTGTTAAAATGTTGTGACAGGGTACGCGAGGGTGGGTGGGCCCTCACTCTGACTCACACCAGTTAAAACCGGCCTGCTCACTGGACAACGTCGTCGTTTGTGTGCGCACACCTTCGTGCCCCGGGGTGCTTGCATGCTTCCTGTCTTTCTTCCTTCGGAAAACAACTCATTTCTCGGTCAACCAACCTTCAGATTCTGCCAAACCACCGATTATCCTGTGTAGATTCGCACTGCCATAGAATCACTTTGATTGCCTCCAAATCGAACACACGTAAGACATGAGCGGTCTCAACAATCATTTCAGAGAAGTGACGATGTTCGAAACAGTTAACCGTATTTAGCTATGTGAATTGTGATTCGTATTGCACAAATCCCAGACTAAAACTATGTTTAAGAGGTGAATTGTGATGCTATTTGCAGCCGAACGCTAGTCTATCGTGTTTGTGTAGGATTTCCTGCATTGCAATTGTGCTAATGTAAAAGGATCTAGCGCAGTGTCGCGTCGTTCCAGCATCGTCATCCCCCACAAGTTCAGACGCAGCAAAGAACTGTTGCTGCGGCAACGAGACTGAACATGTTCGGTTTGTGAATTGCACGATTTCGTGCCATCATGCACGCACACACACGCGTAGAAACCGGTAGGGCTCACAAAGTGATCACCAACTTGGTTGAAAATTGAGTTTGGTGGATCCCAGGCATGTTGTCTGAAGTACCCTGCCGACACGATTCCCCAGATTAATCTTGGTTCCTGAGCGAAATGATGACAAATTTTAGCCCAGGGCGGCAGACGGGGTTCTGAGGTGGCCCGTGTTCGAAGCCTGCCACTGTCTCCTCTTCCTGTTTTCCTGTCGCACGAAATGTCAAGAACAACCGTTGTGTTAGAAAATTGTGGGAGAAGGATCTGAACACAGTGGCTGGTAGGAATTTCGTTTATGTATACCCCACATAGCCGTGTGTACATGACGAAAACAATCTCGTGGGTGGTAATGATTGCAAAAACACGTAAAGCCCATCACGGCGCAGCCCAATGCACACTTTACGAAACCTGCTGCAGCGCAGGCGCACTGCTGTTTCAAAGGTGTTACATTTGAAAATATGGCTCATTCGTCAATTTGACTTGATGCGAACCACGTTTATGTAATCGTTGGCCAAAGCGCAGGCTCGCTCGCTCGATTGCCATCATCTTTCTTTACTAGAAAAATCGACAAACCCGATCCACACGAAACCCAGTTCGTGAGATCGGTGCCTAACCAACTCTCAGCCACAAGGCCTCGCAGCGAATGGTGCTGATTTACGTCCACTAACCTGGCCGTCGCAGTCCCCGCCACACTGACCTCTGGCTCACGGAGCCCCAATCGATCATGCGAAACCGTCTGCTGAAACACCCCTCTCATTCACCTGGACATTCGGGCACTTTACTTCTACAGGTTCCCCCGTACCGTATTGGTCGGTGACCCCCGTTATTCAGACACTATTTTTTCATACACAGAAGCGCGACAGACAGAATCAGGTCGAGCTGTCTAGCAATCAATTGTCTCTGCAGCCCCTTGATCTTCTTTGGCGTCCAAGTCAAGTATTTGAGTCAGTTCAACACAGCGGCACGGCGTGGTTGGAGCCACATGCCGGGGACCACAACACCCCGGAAGACTGAGATTGATAACGAGGATTGTCTGCGACCAGAGGAGGAAAACAAATCAAGGAAAAACCAATCGATTGATGACTCATTTAGCCCGGAGATAATAAATTCACACTCAAACACACGCATACAAACACACGCTATTGGATGATATGCACTAGAGACTGACTAACAGCAACAGAGATTATGAGATGAATAATAATAATAAGAAGAAGAAGCGTGACAAGACAAAGACAGATTGATCAAACAACATCGAATTTTGTTGCAGTGGTGGCGGTGGGACGCGGATGGGTGTGTACATGCATTGACGGGGGGTGGGAGGCGAAACTGAACGTGTTCGGATGAAATTTCGGTTGGTCTATCGGGCGATTATTAGAAAAGCCTAAGGGGGTGGTGGCGGCGGCCGCCAGACACTCAGGGCATCCCGTAGGAGTCGGTGGGGTAGGGCGCTGACCTCCCCATGGGGTCAGACGGCGGCGGTTCGGTCGGAGCAGGCTGGAAGGCGGGTCCAGCCTGGCCGGTGGTGATCACGCCACGCGTGATCACGGTGATCTGGTTGTTGGTCTTGCGTATGCTGAAGCGAACCATCGCCTCGATCAGGTAGGCCAGCGATAGCAGAGCACAGAAGACCTACAAACCGGGAAAAATGAGAGTTATTTCAAGGTCGTAACGGGCAGTATAGAACGGTCAACAGAACGCAGCAACAACAACAACGACAGCAGCAGCAACAACAACAACCTGACTCACAAATGCAGGCTTGGCAACGCCCTATGGGCTTTCTAAATGTTAATGGCGTTGATATAATGGGCGGTTTACTTCGATGACAAATGATCAAGTACCTCGGAAGTCTACCCTAGAAATGGGTTGTCGAGTTGGGCTAAAAGCGCATGCTCGAAATCCCACCTGAAAACTACTGAGGTCTAAATGAGGAAGACACACTGTCGATGAATGAATGACGGGCTCATCTGTGCGTTAATTCAGCGCTTAGTGGACAAGAAAGATGTGCATCAGGGGTAAAGCGCCACCAACACCGCCGCCGCCGCCATCATATTATCTGGCGTTTAATGGCGACTTCTGTTGCATTAATGGGTGCGTGTTCTACCTGCCATGACGCCTGTTTGCCGTTACCATGGCAATATATGCGGGACATGCGCAAAAAACTGACGTGCACATGCTCTGAACCAGTTAATCGGGCTGAGATTTTGGAAATTGGATAACGATGATGCTTCCCTTTGGCCGTGTAAGTACGACAATATACTCTGTGGCGTGCACGGACTACCTACCGCGATGAACCAGTTACGTCCCACAACTGTCTGTAGGCAATTGCCGTTCACAGCTTGCTCATTGGCTGACGGTGAGGACACACGACCAATTGGAGGACGGTAGCAGACTCGATGCAGTTCGTTAGTTTTGCAACAAATTGTTCAATTCTTAGTCTCAGTCAAAATTACCGCCAGGTTGCGCAGGGAAGGCAAACTCAAAATGGACCAGATACCAGATCGCAGTTTGACTAGCCACTTGCTTTGCTCTGACACGACTTTCTACTGGGTGACTGTAATGTGGAAGAAGCGCCCAAGAAACTAATCCTCTGCAATGCCCCCAACAGGCACATAATCACACACTTCCATACTGCCAGCATCTTCCTCGTTGGATACAAACCACAACTAGTTATGACATCGTCCAAGAAGGGATCGTTGTGTTGACGGACAAGGAGAGAATTGGGTGTTGGAATGAGAAAACGACCCTTACTAGGCGTTAGTACGCACACACAGCATTCAGGGCTGAGGACAAGTGGGAAAGTGCAATGATTGCCGCAATTGTGCACGATTCGTCAATGCCATAAAGCCAGTCTTGAAATGGGAGAGACCTCGACTTCACAGGCCACAGAGTGCTTAATTAGCCTCGATCAAAATTAGCAAAACAATTGCAAAAAACCCGCCAAATTAGTGAGAATTTCACATTCTCACGGGGAATTACGAAGTAAGCCACAGAAGGCGAGGCGTACGGGTATGAGCATTGTGGCAGCGACTGGGTGACGTGCAATTAGCATAATACAAACAATCACACACATACACCAGAGCGCTTGCTGCTGCAGTGGTTAACGACTTCGACAGCCGAGGCGGCAAGTGGATGCGGAAGGGCATCGATAGAGGGGGTAGGGGGAGGGAGGTGTGGGGGTAAGCAAGGGACTCACCGCTGCTGCCACCGCCGCAGACGAGTATGGCGAAAAGGCCGCCGCCACGATCATGGAGATTAGAAGGAGGAAACATAG